GTATATAGTGTTGGACTTCTACAGATCACTGGTATTAAGTGTTTGAGTGTCTTAGCATTCAGAAAAGAAGATAATGAATTCGGGCTTGCATTATGAAAATTTGTATTTGTTTGTATATGTGAACATTGTGAAGGACAATGTGCTTACTAGTGGCGTATCTGATATACAAAATTTAGACTTTTAGACTAGCAATGGTCACAATCTTCGTGATTACTTCTGGATACAATATATATAATTATTGGAGTTATATGGTTCCCTGATTTTATGATGTTTAAGTTTTCTCATGAGAACATCTGCAAAAGGTCTTTAAAAAAAATTGAATGTTTCTACATGTCAAGAACTCGAAAAGTAGTCCCAGACATTATGAAGGCATCCATGCAATCAGATAGTGAAATTTCCTTTGCATAATTGTTTAAGATGCAGATTGCTCAAAGCACTGATTTTTGTAGCTTGAAGAATTTGCATATATTTTGTGCATTCCATAAGCCAAGAGAGCATCTGTGAGTAGTAGAAAGAATTCGCCATTCCATACAGTTATCTTTTGCTTCTTGTACAATGATAATGTTAATGGACATACCATATTGATCTGTCTGAACGTGCGAATGATGTCTATCTGCTCGTCCTAATTTACATGGCTAAATTTTAAAAATGTTCTTGCAAATTTTATTACAAAGGAATATGAGGCAACTTTTGTGATGGGACCAGGGTGGAGCTCTAGTTGGATAGCTGAAGGATCTCAAAATCGTGAACTTTGGCGGCTATACGAATCTGATCAGGATCTAAAGTTGGCAGTGTTTAGATGTGAAGTCTTTGATAACTATCTGTAATTGTTCTGCAGAGGTTCAGGTATGTCGGGTGCCAAACAAGTCTAAGCGTCTTTCGAAGACCTTGTTGGAGCTTCATTGGAGGAAAGGAATCGTTCGACAGCTTGATGGGCTGGTACTATAACTCATTGGGGCCCAATTGAAAGAGATCACGTGAGAAGGATAATCAAGCTAATGTCGGAAGCTCATTAAAGGTCATCAGTGGTGATGTTCGAGGTTGCAAATGGGGTGGGTGGTTCTTTGTGCTGCATTGTAGGTTGAAACAAAGAGGGAGGGGGAAGATGAATATAGGGTGAAGCATGTCCTCTTTTGTGTCCTGGCATTATGAATGATGTCGAGCCACATGCAATGTGTTTGGAAATGGCGTGGATTGAATTTGAGATAGTAATAATTGTGCAAAGAATATATTTTAAGTCGACGAGAGATCAAGGATGCCTACCAACATTTTGGAGATGTAGCACTGTTTTAAAAAAAACCCGCCTAGACTGTTTAGGCGTATGCCTAGGCCTAGGCGGTACCTAGACCGCCTAACAAGCGCCTAGCACATGCGCGGTACATAGGCTGCCTTCCTAGATTTTAGGAGTGTTTAGGGGAGTACTGTCTGTTTATGTGGATTGTATCTTTTAGGCATTGATCGTGATTTTCTGTGTTGCAGTCTTCACGTCCTCCAACCTCCTTTAAACTCATTTAATTTTCAAATATGAACACCTTCACTACCTCCTCCGACCTTCAATAAAATCTCATTAATCACCACTTAAATGAAGAAAGAAATCTGCCTAGACACCAGTCCAGCATTTGAGCTTTCTATAATATTAACATTTACCATCAATTATTGTAATTAAAAAATAAAAAAGGAAACCATCCTAGGTTCTAGGCTCGGGTCCAACGCCTAAGCCCCCTGGTACTTTCTATAACCATGTTAGTTATTGTTTTGGCTACTTAGTATTTAAGTATGCATGGTTTATTTGTGGATCTAATTTTGCTATCCTTTTTTTCTTTTTTTAGCAAGTTTCTATGAATTTAATATATATTTTTACTAATTATTATAACTAAATAATTTAAAAAATAGCCAACTACCTAGTCGACACCTAAGCATACACCTAGATGTCTAGGCGCTAGGCGCTGGCTCAAACATCTAGTTTGCCTAGCGCTTCCTGTAATATTGAGATTAGTCACTTTTGATGCCTTCTACTGTACTAACAATTTGCTTATGCCGTCACTTTTAATGCTTCTTACTGTACAAATAAGTACAACATGCCATTTGCACCATTCATCAAGGTAAACCACCATTCTCAAGTCGTATTATTTGGTTGTCCTTTAATTAGAGAAGAGACCATTGACTCCTTTGTGCGTCTATTTTGTACATGTCTTATTGCAATGTTTGGTAAACATTCTAAGTGTATTCTGACGGATCAACAGCTTGCAAAGAGGGAAGAGAGAAGCGAAGTCCTTTCTAACGTGATTCATCGGTTTCGCAAATGGCGTTCTCTATGGAAAGCACACGAGCATCTAGGGCTTTATTTGGCACTAAAGAAAAGTTTCAATATATTTTTTTGTTGCATCAATTTAAGCCTAATTGTTGAGGATTTTGAATCAAGTTGAACTTTCATGATAGAGAAGCCTGGAGTTAAAAATAACATATAACTAAAACACTTGAATTGAATTCGAGGTAATTGAGTGCGACATACTTTAGAAACATATTTTGTGCTTTCATATATGCAATACAAAGAAGTGAGTTTTAACGCACTTCTCAAATGTTAGATATATAACTTACAACAATTTATGAGTTTGTGAAATAAAATAACTCCAGATGATTTATAAGATGTAGAAGAGAAGGAGAATATCAATCTTAACTATACAAGCCATCTTCATGGTCTCCAAGCCCAACAGAGAAGCATGCACAAGGATTTATACTAGAGCAATGTTCAGGGTTTTTAGAGAGCAACTAAAAGAGATTTTCATTTATTTTTTATGAAGTGGAGCCTTAAACATTATGCAAAGTATTGCAATGTCATAAACCCGAACAAACTAAGTGCTAAAAGAACTCGTATGCTTATCATCCTTTGATAGTATCTTGCAATTTGCAAAATATATGAATTCATCGAAATGGTTTACTGAAATTGCTTTTACACTTTGATATCTTTGAAATATCCTCAATAAATTTTAAAGAGATGGACAAATTCGTCGAAGGAAGTGTTGATCATGGGCAGAGCCTTTAAGGGGCAGGGGAGGCCTTGGGCCTCTTAAACTTTAAATAAAAGGTTATGAGATAAAGACCATGAGCCGAAGCCTTCTATGCGTCATAGGTTTTTGTCCCTCACCTTTTTATTCTATCTATATCATTGGTTGATATACACCAAAGTCATAGCACTGCACCATCAAATTCCTCCTTAAAGACTAATGTTTAATAGTTTGTGTCGGAAAATGATGAAATTGGTTATAGAAGGTTCTACATGTAGTGGAAGAATTTGCACAATTCAACAAATCAAAAAATAGATCAAGTTCTAGAAGAATTAGGTGTTGGCTAAATGGCAATTTCAAGAGAATAGGTTGGGACATAACAACATGATGTAGATCCAAGCTTTTGATATTCTTAAGCAAAACATGTACAATAATTGGACAATGACACTTCCTTTGACTTCAAATTGCAAAGGAAAAATAAAGAAGCAACACCTCGGAGTTGAAAGCCAAAGCCAAGAACATGCAGAAATGTCATAAGAGCCACAATAGTGCTTGCAAGGTGTATATCTTTTATTTTAAAATAGGCTTAATTATCAGATTGATATATTTAATGGCAAATCTGTACCAATAAGATCTATTTAGTGGCGTTGCCGACAATAAGGTATATTTAGTGTGCCTCAAATCGCTATTAATGTCTATGTGATTACCGGCGTGAACTTTGACCGCAACATTATGAATTTTTGCATATATATCCCTCAAATTTCTCATATTTGCATATTTATCCCCCAAATCTTATTTTTGAAGAAGAAACAACCTCTTTCTCTCTCTCTCACATAGCAACATCAGTTCTCCAAAAACCCTTGCCCTCTTCACCACTGAGATTCCTGAAATCCCTCAACAAAACCCTTTTCTCAAACCCTATTTTCTCCATGACTTCACTATGACCCATTTCTCATATTTTACCCATCTTTTCCCCATTACTTTATGTTGAACCCAATTGCTCTTCATGGGTTCGTTCAATTTAACAGAATGATGAGCTCTTATGTTAGTGATTATGGTGAAAGGCCGACGATGTAGCTGATAGTGTGAAGAAGAGGAGGAAGAGGAAGATGAACAAGCGCAAACGAAAGAAGCTCAGAAAACATCATGATTTGTCATCAAGTATTCTTCATGAACCAACAACCAATTATAATGACACTAATTAGGGTCATGTAAATTTGAGCATTGGTTCGGGGAATGAGGTAGATTTTAATTTGTTCTTGTTGTTAGTTAAGAGATGAAGAGAGGTTTTATTTTTGTAAGAACCAAGATTTGTGGGCTAATGTGTACATATGAGAGATTTAAGGGGTATATGTGCAAAAAATCTATAATTTTGGGCTCAAATTTCACCTCTGACAATCGGATAGGCATTGTTGATTATATGAGTCTCACTAAATATTCGTTATTGTTGTTTGTGCCACTAAATAAGTCTTATTGATATAAATGTGCCACTAAATATACTAATATGGTAATTTAGCCATTTAAAATAAGGTATAATGTTTCTAAATATAGTACAATATTTCTAAATTTTTTGACTCATATTGAGATTTTAGATATAAATCATGGTGAAGATCTTGATCTCACAATTAAATGTAATGGTTAAAAACCTTGGTAGACAATATCTCCTATCAACTTAATTTTACAGGAACTTTTCTATATAATTGCATTTTCGTGACAACTAATTCTTCCACAACTTGATCTATTTTTTTATTTGTCAAGTTATACAAGTCATTACATGTCGAATATTCTATAATCAATTTCATTACTTTCTAACATAAACTATTGAACATTAATTTTTCAGAAGGAATTTCATGGTGAAATGCTAAGACTTTGATGCATATCAACCTAGGGTGTAGCCAAGATAAAACTAGGGACAGGGAAAAAGCCTATGTCTTTGATGTATATCAACCTAGGGTGTAGCCAGGATAAAATTAGGGAGAGGGAAAAAGCCTATGACTTATAAAATTTGAGCTTTGGCCTTCGGCTTGTAGTCATTGGCTCATAGACTTTTATTTAAAAATTGGGGGTCTAAAGCCTTATCGCTCCTTAAGAGCTATGCCTACAATCAACACTTCTTTCAGTCTATCTCTTTAGAATTTATTAAGAGGGCATTCAAAGATATCAAGGTGCAAAAGCACCTTTAGTAGTACATGCAAGCAGGCCATTTTATTGAATTGATATATTTTACAATTGCAAGATACTATCATAGAGATTTGGATGATAACCATATAAGTTCTTTTAGAATGTAGTTTGTTCGGGTTTGAAACTTGCAATCATTTGTATAATGCTTTAGGCTCCATTTTTCAAGATAAACGAAAATGTCTCTTTTTGTTGCTCTCTAAAGACCGTGAACATTGTTCGAGTATAAATCATCTGTGCATGTCTCTCTATAGAGCTTGCAGACCATGAAGATGAATTGTAAAGATTGATAATCCTCCTCTTTTATGTCTTATAGATCTTCTAGAGTCCTTTAATATTGACAAACTCATAAACTGTTGCATAGTTATATATTCAGCCTTTGAGAAGTGCGTTGAAACTTCACTTAATTTGTGTTGTAGACATGAAAAAACACAATATGTTTCTAAAGTATGTCACCCAATTATCTCGAATCTGATACATTTGTTTTAGATGTGTGCACTGTTCTAGATAGCGATGCATAGCGCCGCTATAGCAGTTTTCATAGCGTTAATGATGGCTACCGCTATGCTATGAGCGAAAGCGGTAGCAAATAGCGGCCAAAAGCCAGCCTTCATTTGGTGGGTAGTTTTTATATTCTCCTCGACCCATACCCAAACCTGACCCATTTTATCATTAAAACCTTATCAGAGCTCTTCTCTCTCTCCCCCATCTTTGATTCACAGTCACAAAAGAGAAAAAACCCTAGCCGTTGGTGCTTCCTCACCATCTCCATCGCTTCCTCCTTATATCCGGTGCTCCCTCCACCATCTTCAGTGTTTTTTTATTCTTTATAGTACTTTGTTAATAGTTACACATCTATTTCATGCTTAGGATCTCTATAAATCATCAAATACACATTTGTAGAATTTCTAAAATTTTTTAAATAATTTTTCTTATTTTTTAGAATTTTTAAATGTATTTAAATTTGATCACGATTTGACTATGCACTATTTGTCGCTATTGTGCCGTTGTAGGCGCAGATAGCCTTAGTGGTACCTCACTGCTACGCGACGCTATCCGCTATCAATAACTTTGGATGTGGGTTATCTTCCCTCTTATGTTTCTCTATCATGGAAGTCCAACTTGATTTAAAATCCTCTATTGTGAAGCTTAAATTAATGCATCACATAAAGGTTTTTTGAAACTTTTTTTTGTGCCAAGTCAAACCCCTAGATGCTCATGTGATTTTCGTAGGATATGCCAATTGCGAAATTGATGAACCGTATTAGGAAGGGCCACACTCCTCTTTGTAGGGTCTTGACCCATCGGAATGCACTTAGGATCTTTAACAAACATTGCATTAAGCCATGTTAGAAACACCAACATAAAGAAGTCGGTGGTCTCATTTTAAATTAAAGCACAACCAATGTTGTTTGGAAATGGTGGTAATTAAATCCAACGGTTAGAAACCTTGGTGGATAACGACTCCTTTCAACTCAAGTTTAGAAGAGTTTTTCTTGTATATATATGTGCGAGAATGTGTTGTGTGTGATGCATGGCAGTGTGTGTATGTGTGATGAATATAATGTGTTATGGGTTACTTTGTGTCGTGTTTCCCATTATCTCAAATCAAGTGCTAATTAATGCATTGTTTTTGTTATTGCAACTTCAATGGTAATTATACCTGACTATAATAGTTATTGTTGGTTTTCAACCCTAGCATCATATTGTTGACCTTCGTTACTGTTGGATAGGAAAATCTCAAATATCAACTAGGAAGATTACACTGTACACGGATCTTAATGTTGGAGGTTTATAACTAGGTATGGAAAAGTTTTGAGGGATGTTGGGTGAGTAAAGGTATGATGTTTTGGGCTGTTTTAGTTTTTGTTGCTGTCCGGTGTTGGAGACAATGGAGGGTGAGTAAAGATTTGAGTATAAGAAAGAAGGGAGTGACTGAGAAATAACAAGTGCCTTCAGAACCTACTTACCCATTTTGCTTGTGCACAATGGCATCTCTACGAACGAGCAAATCAACTGATGTAGGGATAGAACAGATTTAAATGAACTGATAATGCACGTCACATCAAATAAATGAGATATTTCTTAAAGAGTTTTGATAACTAGCACATAATCAAATTCTAGGCACAATATAGGTCAAGTAGATTACCTATCATACCATTATATAGTTTCTGATCTACCTCTTTATTACTGTTTGTCCAGCGTAGTTGAGGTGAGGTTGGTTTTGCATCCTTTATTGTAGATTTCTATGCATGCTAGTTCTAGTCATATTCTCTTTGATGGATGATTATTCCTAGTCTTCTTGTTTTGCAACCTAAGAAAGAACAACTCCCATTATGCATGTTTGTAATTGCTCTAGCATATTCTGACAAATTTCACATAAAGAGCTCAGTAATATTTCTGAAAATGACATCATCCACATATAGTAAGATATACCAATATCTTCACTTTTACTTCAGTAAACAAATTTTTATCAAGTTTGCCTCAGATTAGAGAAATCTTTTTCAGAAAAGGAACTAGTGAGTTTATCATCATATCCTTGCTTCAAACTTACAAGAATTTTGCTCCACTGGTAACTAGAATGGTTTATTAACCCCCAAAGCACGAGTAATTATTAACCCGACCCTATTTTACAACACAATTATCGTGTTGGACACTTAGCTATGACGTAACACTTGGACAAACACTCAATAATTCTCATATACTGGGATAAGGGAGAGGCTTAGAATGAATATAAAAAGGGGATCAGTAAGGAAGAGCAGAAAGAAAGTGTAAGCCAGTGCTTAGTCTTGCAGTCATCCTTATCCCTGTCTTTAACTATATTATTGTCCTGTGATAGTTAAACCACTAGCACTAAATAGATCTCATAGCTTTTCTCAGGATGAGATTAATAATGTCAATAATTAATATATTGTAGCTGTCTCTCCATGTCTTCCTGCTTAAAAGTTGTTATCCTAGACATTATCTTCCTGTTTGAAACATGACTTTATGAGTTTCTTTACCAGTAGCTTGTAGGAGATGGTCTTGGGTGTTTGGCAGGGTAAATTTAAGGAGCGAAAGGTGAAACTTGATTCCTTCAGTTTCTTAGTTTTCTCTTAAATTCAATCACAGGTCCTTAGTTTTCTCTTAAATTCAATCTTGCCTCCCTTGAAAGCATTCTTTCCATTTCCAAGGTCCGTTGAAAGTTTTGTATATTGACTATGAAGTTCTTCAAAGTGATGGGTGCCTCACTATTCTTGCACTTGAAACTAGTTGTATCACCATTTTTAATGATATTTTTCTTAAGGCTTAAATGCGGCTAGACCCCCTTGAGTATCGTTGCTTTCAACTTACTACCCCTCTAGTTTTATTGCTGCAGATTTACACCCTGAGTGCTTTTTTCACTGTTTTACCCTCAGAGAAGTCACTTGGGAGTGGTCTGACCTATGTGGCATGTGGGCCTCATGATATATGAGAACTTTCTTAAAACCCTTTCGTGTATGAAACCTGGAAACTTAATTAGCTCAATTTCTTATTTTTTTTCCTGAATTAACATGTGCTGCATTTTTAGGTCTTAAAGTTTTTAAATAGTAATGGCCTCAAATATATCACTAGAATGGATTTCTGTCAGGACTTGCAATGTGATGTAATAGAATTGTTAGTCATGTTTTTTTTCCTCGAAAAATAGAGAGAATTGTTAGTCATGTCTGATATTTGCCCACTAGATCTTAACGATGGTGTTGAATAGTGTTTATTGATGTGGTAATTTATAAGAAAGTTTATATATGAGGGCCAGTTTTAAATAAATAGACGAGGATGTATAATTTAATCCTAATCAGACTTTGGTATTAGTAAATTCCTCTCTTCTGTGTTAGGAATCACGTGTAATTGTATATTGGGTTAAATGTGGATAGAGCTCCTATACAATAGCCTAATGGTGGATAGAACCCTGTAGTTCTATTTGTGCAGATAGATCCCTGAGGGAACCTTTTTGACTAGTTTAAGAGTAGAATAAATCACTCAGGGTTTTATTTGCACTTGGGAATACTACAGGGGATCTATCCACAGCAATTTAACAACAGGGGGCTATCCCGCAATTAGGCGATAGTACAGGGGTCTATCCGCAAATAACCCTCTTTTGATTTGTAGATTGCTTAGTTTGATACTTTAACAAAGTTTCTATTTCTGCAGTGGAGTGAAATCAGAAAGATAAATAGCAGTGTGCCGGTGATTGGGAAGATTAACACTGATTACAAGGAAGATTTTGATGCTGACGCAGAAGACGATGATCCAGATAACGTGGATGAGTCTGAGGGTGATGAATTTGAGCAGGAAGCAGGTTGAAGATATACCGCATGAACATTGTAATTTAGCTTAGCTTCTATAAAACGCAAACTGAAAATTGTGTGGTTCTATGAATTTGCAAGTAGTTAGCCTATCACAGAGGCATCAAATTTGGCTTGTTGGTCGCCTTTCAAGTTTCCTGCCTTTGGTGTTGTTTTTTGTGTTTCGCTGAGGTTCTTAGATTCACTTGCAATCTTGATGCACATAGTGTATTTTCTATAAAAATGAAATTTGTTGGAGTTTTTACTGCTCCGTGGAAATGCTTTTAATCCTTGTTTGTCACATTTTCCGTTTATTTTATAAATTCTGATACCATTCTGTACATCTGTGGCTCCAACAAATGAGTATACATGCCCCAAATATCGTAGCAACGAGAGGAATTTCCTCTCTTGTTATACTACTTCTAAATACTACTTCTAAAAGAGAAAACACATGTCAAAACTTTTGCATACCTATTTTGCCCTTTACAATTTTATTAATTCTAATTTTATCTTATAACTATTTTAAAAGTGTGAATGGTATTAAGACTTTTCATCCAAAAATACCCTTCAACTTTTTCGTATAATTGTAAAAGTTTCCATTTATTATTATGGATATTCATGTACTTTTGTTTATTTATATGATAAAACCACACATGCATATACATATCCATAATAAATATACATAATAATCAATATGAGTGAACAACACATGCATGTCAAGAGATGCCCAATTGATGTCCAAGTAATGTCAAAGCTCAATTTATTATTTACCAAATTCTTCAGAGGATGAGCTTTAATTTTCATGAGGAATTGAAGTTTAATGCATGACGTTTGAATCTTAAGAGGTGCACTTATAATTGTTCCTCCCTATTAACTGTAATTCAAACCTAATTATGAGACTATTCCTCTTTAATCTCGTTCAAGGCATTAATCTCTTCATTTCCTCCATCAATCTATAAATACTCCTCTCATTGTGAAAAAAGAAATACTTCAAGAGGATATACAGTTCATCTGCTCCATCAATCTATAAATACTCTTCATCTCCTCAAGGCATTAACCTCTTCAAGCAAGAAGATATACTTTAAGAAGAAGATATTAATAGTTCTAGAAAGCCATTTGATGTGATATTGCTAGGTAAACATAATTGATCAACTATTTGTTTCAGCAATATGCAACTGGTGTCATGCTTTAAAATGGTTTTACATTTTTTTTCCTTTTAGTTTTATAAGTATTTCAATCTTGACTTAATAAGTTTATGATTGCCCCCGGAGCTCTTTTATATACCATCTTGTTAAATGATATCAATTTGCTTATAGTTTTATTTGTCACTCTAACTGCATGATTGATTTTTTTTATATACATGGATTCATGATAATTTCTTATAAATGTGCAAAGTTAGGACCATATACACTCGAATACACAACGAGTGGTCGTCACATGATGATGGGAGGGCGCAAGGGTCACCTAGCAATGATTGATATGATAACTATGGATATAATTAAGGAGTTTCAGGTTTCTTGTGTTATCATCTCTGACTTATGATTGTTGTGCGCTGCGGAAATTTCGGCAGAGTTTCTGGTGCACAATAAGAGAGAAAGATCGATAATAAGAATTCCCGTCTCACCAAGGAGACAAGAATCTGAAGCGGATATCTCAACCAAGTGAGATATCGGCTCTTCCTCTCATCAGTTCTAGGACTGACCTGTCGAGGGATCCTAATAACTATTACAATGGCCACAAACTCAAACAACCAATTTTACGTGGTTCGGCAAACTGCCTACGTCCACGGGGCAAGGAGGGGGATCTACTATTAGAGAGAAAATACAATAGGTTTACAATCTCACAAAATAAACCCTCAAACTAACTCTCTAATCTCTCACAAAATCTCTCTCAAAGGGACGCCGCCAAAAAAAAAACTACCGAAGAGCCTCTCTGCTAATTGCCGCAGCCGAAAAAACTATCCCCTCAATAGCACACCTGCAGCCGCCCAATTGCTTTCCCCTCTGCCTTAGCTTTTGCACGCGCCTCCAAGACAGAGCTCTCTGCACTTGCTTGCACCAAAAGAGAACTCAGCCGCCCCCCTCACACTTTGCACACGTTTCACGAAGCCCTAGGATGGGAATTTATAGGGGTGCTATACAATTGAATCGGGTGGGCTTTCACTTTGTCCGCTGGACACGAGATCACTTCACGCGTCAAAAAACCCAATGGAATTCTCCTTTGAACACTTGTGGCCCCCACACGAAGATGCAATCAACAATCACGGGATTTTCAAGCTCACGTGATCCCTTTGTACTCTTGTGGCCCCCACAAGCATGTCTCCAACAATTCTCCACCTCGGCGAAGTTTTCCCAAAACTAAGCCGATACCAACCAAACCAAACGTCTCACTTGTTGTGTCCAGTACACCGTGAAACAATTCACGACAACAGACTCAATCCATAACAAGTCGAGAACCCAAATGAGAATGCAAACACTCTCCAAATGTCAGTATCAACTCACCAAATCGATCTCACCCCCATCAAATAATCCAACCCGGCTGCATCATAAAGACTGCCTACGTATCCTCTTGCCCAAGGAATCAAGCCGAACGTAGTTCACCCAAATGGCCGCGAACGACCTCAATCCAATAGAAGAGTTCGCAACCCTTCTCCAATATCATCAACTCTGCGGCTGATAGCACCTCCAATGGCCTCAAACACCTCCACCTGAGGCGAACCAATGGTCATATCCAAACTATGTCTGCCAGCTGCACTCGATTCAAAACCCAACTCATCATCTGCACATAAATCCAAATAACTTCCACGCTGTGTCACCTCAGCTGGAATCCCAACCAATGCAGAATGATCTGGAGTAATCTTTACCCAATGTGGAGTAGCATCACTCTCCACCCGCTGCGATACCTCTAAGGTCTGTCCAAAACTCTCCTCCTGCTGAGAGTCAATTAGCTCCCTCATCGAAGCCTCAACCAAAGTGACACTACCAGACCTATCTTCCAATGGAGTTTTACCTCCAATCACAGCAGTTGACAACTCTTTAATAAGATGACCCAAATATGTCGAAGCCTCTGTCCAGAAACTCTTCTGCAGACCATTGCTTGACAACAAACACCGTGTTGGAAACTACTAGGACTTTCTCCAAAGGGGATTTGGTTGCAACCCAAACACGCCTAGAACAGCCACCAACAAAGGAAACCAAACGCCTATTACCTCCCAATGATGTCCCCTTGGAAGGCCCCCAAACATCCACGTGAACTCCTCCAGAACGACCCTTAGCACGGTGAATAGAGGTGCCACACTTCACCTCGGTCTTCTTGCTCACATCAACATGTTCACTGGACTTCAAACTGCAGGTCTTTGCACCCTCTTTCAATCTATGCGAGGAATCAATACTGGAATGGCCAAGCCCCAAATGCCGCAGTCTAGTCGAATCAACAGAAGTCGTCAGCTCTCCACCTGCCACTATACCTCCAGTCAAGTAATACAGGTTATTTCTCCTGACGCCCTTCATCAAAATACGAGAGTCTCTCGCAATCTCGAGAACCATGTCCTCAACACGAACCTTCAGACCCTCTCCAACCAAAGCTCCAATCGAGATCAAGTTCTTCCTCAAAGAAGGAACATATCTCACATCGTTTAACTCTCTAACAGTCCCGTCAAACATCTTTATGCGAATTCTTCCTATCCCAAGGATCTGGCATGCACGGTTATCAGCCATGTACACCACACCACTATCCACCAGCTTCTCAAAACTGGAGAACCATTCCCTTCTAGGGCACACATGATAGGTCGCACCACTATCCAACATCCATTCAGATTCCTCCGAATAGCTATCTGTAGGACTGATAGAAAGCGAATAAATAGAAGAGTCAGAATTATTACCATCCGATACGATGTTTGCTTCTGATGATGGTTGCTTCCCTTTTCCCTTCTGCTTATTCTTCATCCATTCGTCGAGCTTTGGGCAGTCTTTCTTCCAATGACCAGTCTCCTTGCACCAAGCACACTGATCTTTTCCAATTGTAGGATGCCCTACTCTAGACTGTGACTTCCAATTCTTTCGGTTTGGACCCTTCCCTCTTGCGACCAACGCCTCCGCTACTGGCTCAACTGAAGCCTCCTTATCCTTCTTTCGAAGCTGATAATTCACAAGTGCAGCGGTGACCTCACTATACGAAAGTGATGCCTTCCCATTAATCAGAGTAAGAACGAAGGTCTCATATTCCTCGTCGGGCAAGGAACTCAACAACAGCAACGCCTTGTCCTCATCTTCAATCTTGACATCCACATTCGCCAAATCCGCAAGAAGCTTTGTGTAGTGGTTCATGTGATCTCTAATGGAGGTTCCCTTCTTCAACTGGAAACGATAAAGTCTCCTCTTCAAATGCAAGCGATTTTCCACACTCTTGGTCAAATACTTGCTTTCGAGAATCTCCCAAATCTTCTTCGCAGAAGTCTCATTCATCACATCATATTTTAGATCTTGAGTCAAACAAGACCTAATCACACCACACGCCGTTCGATTCATCTTTTTCCAAACCTTCTCTTCAATCTCATCTGGCTTGCCATCTAACTCCAAGGTATCCTCCAAATTCTGCGCGTTCAGCGCATCCAAAACCTCGTATCTCCATAATCCAAAGTTGTTTGTGCCATTAAATTTTTTTCACATCTATCTTCATAGAATGGATATTCAGACTTTGAATGGTCTTCGCGCCAGAAGCACCGCCCTCGACACCCGAAGCACCTTCTTTCCCCGACATTTTACGCACCAACGAACAAAGAATAGATTCAAAACTAAAAAGATAGAGTCTTTACCAAAAGATCCCACCTTTATCACCAACGAAGTCCTAAACGGGCCTCCAATTTGATCTACTCCTCCAACCAAACCCTAGATCTGGAATCTGGGCTCTGATACCACTTGTTGTGCGCTGCGGAAATTTCGGCAGAGTTTCTGGTGCACAATAAGAGAGAAAGATCGATAAGAATTCTTGTTTCTCAAAGGGAACAAGAATCTGAAAGCCTAATATCCCATCAAAGTGGGATATTTGCTCTTCCTCTCGTCAACTCTAGGACTGCGCGTCGAGGGATCCTAAAAACTATTACAATGGCCACAAACTCAAACAACCAATTTTACGTGGTTCGGCAAACTGCCTACGTCAACGGGGCAAGGAGGGGGATCTACTATTAGAGAGAAAATACAATAGGTTTACAATCTCACAAAATAAACCCTCAAACTAACTCTCTAATCTCTCACAAAATCTCTCTCAAAGGGACGCCGCCAAAAAAAAACTACC